ATAGACGAATTTCATAAATCAAACTAGATCCGAACTGAAAATGAAATCACGAATAAAGCTCCGCTCATATCCTGATCATGCCGTACAGCTGAACAGACTTTGCTGGATAATGCAAATCTCCTGGATTATGCAAATCTGGCCTGCTGGCCCCTAAATCTTCAGATTAACAAGTAGTACTTCTATTTCCTCAGTGCTGGCCGAAATTACGACTCTGAGATTGCCGACTGCGACCTTTATCATGCCAGCTTCCTGCTGTGAACTGCTACAAGTCTTTTGCTATTTGTTCGACCTTGTTGTGATTGTAACATGTTTCTCTGAATCTCTGCACTACTCCGGCACTCTCTAATCATATTGTGCCCCTTTCTTATCTTGTCCTTGTTGCTGGGGTAAAATCATTCTCCCGTTGTTAGGTTTCTCTAGATTTTTGCAATGGTTCTCTTGTCATTGTCATTATCACTATTCTGGATTTTGATTTCTTCCTTCACTATGGGTATATCTCCCTGCTTCACTTAGACTAGCGGTAATTGTTTGATGAAGAAACGACCTAAATTCTCCCAAATAGGTGATAATTGCTGTCTCGTCAAAAAAATCAGGATGTTGTTGCTATCCTTCAGCGATGGTCCTCAATGCTGAATATATATTTGACTTCTGCTTGGTTCCTCTTATAGGTTGCAATTGAAACTAGTGTGCCTTGAAATTTTGGTGCTCATATTGTCTGATATTTTTCATATCCTTTCAGAGTTAAATCTCCTGCTCTGTGGCTCTATCAACAACTAATTATGGTGGTGGTGTACTCATTGGTATTACATCTTTACTTCCACGACAGGTACAACCGGTGGTGAATCTCTTGAAAGTGGTGTTGCTGACGGAAATGGATACACGTCTTGCTCCTCGATTATTGTAAGATCTAGCTGCTAACGACACCATGAAGTCGATCAAATACTGTGGAGCCAGCTATGGCTCGGCTCTGCATGCCCAGCTCTCCAGGTACGAGTTTTACCTCGACCACATCCTCGTTTCGATAATTATAATATCAAAAGGAGAGCTTAATTTTCACAGTAAGTGAGATAGCAAAAATACATATATATATATATAACGTATCATAATACAAATTCATAACACATAGTATTCACGCAATTACCTTCAATCAACATAAAATAGTTGTTATAAAAAAAATTCTCAATTTTTTGAGATATATGCATATATCGTCCTCACTCATACTAGGAAATCCTTACAGACTCTATACACGAATCCTAAAAAACTCTATCATAGCTCCACGACTCGACACAGGATGATCCTAAGGATACTGGAACTAGAGCTCTGATACCAACTGTGATGCCTCTGGGTTCACACAAGGCTGCAGTCCAAGGTGAAACCAAGAATGTCAAACCTGCTTTGCACCACACCGTGCAATAACATGTTTCACCATCACAATTAACATCTATCTAGTAGAGTCAACAATAGGTGCGGATACAAAAGCAAGTAGAAGATAATACAAGGAACAACTGAGGAAAATGATAGAGATCAAGTTAGTATTTCATCATCTAATATACTGAAGTACAAGTAAATGTCTGAAATGAATACACTGGAACTTTTCAACAAGTCTCAAATACAAAGGTTTGAATAAAAGGAAATAAGGCACACGGCCTTTACATATTCTAGAATAGACTCTCAAATATCTAAACCAAAAAGTCTACAGTGGAGCTCAAAAGAAAAATATATCTAAAGTAGGCAGCTGACGCTAAAGTGCATCGCCATCAACCTGCGACTCTCCAGGCTCCTAGCTCGTTACCTGAAAGGGGGAGGGACAACGAGCATCAAAGCGCTAGCGAGCAACATCACAACCAACCCCAAAGGATAGGGCTCGTTGTATATAAAAATACAGTTAATACATAGTAGTATAAAATCATTTATTCTAACTACAATGGGTTTTGGTATTTAGGAAATTACAACACAAGCGTGGGTACGTCGAGCGAAATAATCCAAACAAGGAAACCCTCATGTATATACCTTGTATCTCAAATTGTAAATCCCTAAATACCAAACCCAAAGTCTAATATAAAAACAATAATAAAGAGAAATGCAACCCGTCTCAGAACATAAGCTACTGTATTCTGTCATAACCAAATGAGTGCCAAAGGTCCAAAATTTCATAAGTGTCATGTCCTGATTCAGATAAGTGTCATACTCATAGCTTAACAACTGGTCAACCCATGGTCAAGTGGGTGAATATACAATACGAGGACTGAAATGGATTATAGTCCAACACAAGGACTTTAATGGATTATAGTCCAACACGAGGACTTTAATGGATTATAATCCAACACGAGGACTGCATTTAACATAGTTTTCCCAATCACATGGGCTAGATAGTGATTATCGATGAGATAAATGAAGAAAGTGCACATATACAAATTTCACACATGTCTCGACGTATAAGTTCTAAATTTGGTGCCCTCAGGTCATCTATCATGCTTAGATTTATGGCAACAGTGAACACTAGTATCAGATAGTCGAGGGAATTCATCGAACACATGAAACACTCAGCAAAAAAACCAAATCTGCACAATACTGAGCGGCGGTCGACAGACCCGGTCGACCGCATACGGATAAGAACCTCACTATTCAGCAGAAACATTCCCGGTCGACCGGTGCCACGAAATTTAAATCTTTAAAATTTCACCAAGATCCCATATATGAATTACACATAATTTAAGCAAAAACATAGGTGTAGAAAAGCAAAAGAACAGGTTTTTATTTCTTTCTTATGCTAAAACGTTTTCAGATCTAGATCTTGTTGATAAAAGTCCTTTGGTGAGCTTTTAAAGTTTGAAAACATGATTCTTATAACATGTACCATATAGACCTACTATCTCTACAAGAAAATACAATTTTTGGCCCAATAAATTCAATAAAAACTCAAACTTTGCATGAAAACAAAAGGGGTGAAGTTGGGTGAGATGTTACTCGCCTCTGATGGGAACAAGGGTCCTGAATCTGCAGGAGAACAATCCCCTTCGCCGAATCCCTCCAAAAATCCGTTGAAAATCCTTCAAAACTCCTCCAAAATCGCCAAGAAAAGATCTAGGGTTTGGGAGAGAAGAGGGGGGCTGCTAGGGTTTAGAAAACAGAAGAAAAAATGGGTGTTTTCGGGTAGAAGAGGTTATATATGAGCGGTCAAACCCGAAATAAAACCCGAAATCCGAACAGACCCGAAACTGGAAAAAACTAAAAAACAACCTTCAGTATTTTGGTCATAACTTTCGCATACAACCTTGAAATGAGATGATCTAAGACTTGTTGGAAAGCTCTTGAAGATACCTACAACTTTTGTCTTACTTTTTTTTCCAAATTCCAACTATATCTGTGAGCAAAATACAAAATCTCTCCGCTGGTCATAAATTTCCAGATTTATACATCGAGCATGAATTGTGCATTTGCTCTTATATATATACATATATACATTGAATTTATCTCAAACCAATTCTTAGCATACTCAAATATCATAATATATTATTTATAAATATATAACATATTTATTATTATTTGTCATAAAATATTCAAAATTTTGGGGTTTTACATACACTGAAGATCATATTGTCAAATTACTGGCTAGCTGCAGACTCCTACAAATAACTATATAACAGGAGCAAGATGTTAAACACTTTTTTATGTTATGTCACATATAGATATATGATCTGAAGATAATCTTAATTAATTATCACTTATTTCCATGTTCACTGGCCGATAATTAAAGGCATTGCAAAGCTTGACCAAGGGATGTGTTGTAGAGGTATTTCTCTATATTTGTTTAGTCACGGACCTAATTGGTCCCTTTCATATTAATTAATGATGAAGGTCACTTAGTATAATCTCGGGATAATTGATCATTGCCAATGGAACTGTTTTATATTTCTAATTAATTACGCATTCTAATATCCTAAGCTACAAAAAAGAAGCACGTACATGAAAGGATTAGCCTAGCCGCTTCCTCAGTTAGATTAATATATGATACTCTTATTGTTATTGATGAAGTGCGGAGTGGAACAAAAAACGCACATAGGAGGTAGGTATAGATTTAGCCTAGCCGCTTCCGCAGTTAGATTAATATATGATACTCTTATTGTTATTGATGAAGTGCGGAGTGGAACAAAAAACGCACATAGGAGGTAGGTATAGATACAGCTCATAAAAAGTGGAATAAAAATAAATTATTTGGATCAAATCACCATGTTGATAATAAATATTATCAACAGAAACCCACTTCAACGTCAAAGACAAATGATAATAAATATTTCGTAATATATGCTTGTTCCAATGCTCATGTGTTTACTAAGTGTCTTTGGAAACTAAATGAAATTTCAACCAGTTAGGTATGAAGAAAATTTTATGGAAAAAGTCAGCATCATATTTATCATCATTGCAGCGTATCTGTAACTTAGATACTCTATTAATGGGCATCTGAAATGTGTGTGACCAAGAAAGTTCTTGTTTGACGTGAATATGGGGTGTTTTAATGAATCTGGTCCAATATTTAAGCTTATATGTATATTCATTCTAAAAGAAGGGTATTCATGCTTATACCAATATTTATGCTTATATGTATATTCATGCTTACAGAAGGATATTTATGCTTATATGTATATTCATGCTTAACTGTACTTGTAGCAAAGATTTGATGTCGGGGACTATGAGAACGACCTAGTCATCCAAGATTCCATAAAGAAAAAGTGTCAGAGTATATATAGAAATTGGAAGCATGAGTTGCACGCCTACTATCTTGGTTTAATAGAGAAGGGAGTACTTGATCCCAAGAACCATCCACCGAAGCGCGTGGAGCCCAATGATTGGGTATCGATGATCGATGTGTGGGAAACTGAAGAGTGGAAGGTATATATCTCAAATCAATTTATTAAATTGTCATGTTAATTTTATTTGTTGTGATATATTATAATAATATATTTTATATTGGTTATTAGACAAAATCTTATAAAGAGAAGGAGAGTCGATCAAAGTTACCCTACAATCATATATCTGGTTCCCGATCATTTGCAGCAGCGATGTCACTAATCGTAAGTTTTGCTTTATAAGTTTTTACTTTTTAAATAAATAGACTATAAATAGTTATTAACAACCATAATGATAAATTTATTTAATTACAGAAATCAAAAAATGATGGGCAAGCTCCCTCTTTTCCGGAATTTTACAAGGAAACCCACTACCAAAAAAAAATGAAAGTATGGGTAAACGAGAAAGCACAAGATACCTATGTACGTATGTCCAATTACTTTTGTTAAATCAATCTATAAAAAACTTATAAATTTACTTTTGTTAAATCAATCTATAAAAAACTTAAAAATGATATGGATCTTACATCTTTAAAAATGATAGGAGCGATTAGTCAACAAGACTATCGAACAATCTCAGCCCGAAGTTACATCCCCGATGAAATGATATGGATCTTACATCTTTAAAAATGACAGGAGCGATTAGTCAACAAGACTATCGAACAATCTCAGCCCGAAGTTACATCCCTGATGAATGATTTTTGCCGACGCATTACCCTTTGTCGACGTTATGTACGTCGTCAAAAGTGCAAGATTTCCCAACATCATTTCACATATGGAAAAAATCAGCATGTTTTTGCCGACGCAAAATAATATGCGTCGCTAAAAGATGTACTTTTCCCGACACATGCCGCGTCGCCAAAAGTATACTTTTGGCGACGCAGTGTATTTGCGTCGCCAAATACTTTCCTTGACGATGCCGCGTCGCCAAAAGTATACTTTTGGCGACGCAGTGTATTTGCGTCGCCAAATACTTTCCTTGACGAACTTTTGGCGACGTGTTAGCGACGCTGTATTTTACGTCGGGAAATATTTTTCCCGACGTTTTTTAAACATTTGCCGACGTTTTTGTTTCGTCGGCAATGTTGTATTTTGTTGTAGTGTTAAGAAATCGTTTGAATTTCTTAGTAATCATTGCAATATCCTTATCATCTTCATCGAATTCATCGGTGTCGGAGGATGCATTGAAGGAAAGTACCTTTTTCTTCTTTGGTTCATCATCCATCTTTCAATCTTTAATTTGAACTTCATAAGCCATCAAGTTTCCAATGAGATTTTCTACGGTGAGAGTTGATAGATCGTTTGCTTCTTCTATTGCTGTAGTCTTTTTCTCCCATTCTGGAATTAGTGCTCATAAAATTTTTCTTACAATCTCAACTTGAGTATATTCTTTGCCAAGTCCGATTAAGGAGTTAGCAATATCAGTGTACCTTGTGAAAATCTTTGTGATGGTTTCATTCTCTTTCATCTTAAATAATTCAAATCTGTGAACAAGAACAGAAATTTTTGTTTCCTTAACTTTATTAGTTCCTTCATGTGTTACCTCAAGAGTGTGCCAAATTTGATGTACTATTGTAGAGATAGACACACGATTGAATTCATTCTTATCCAAAGCATAAAACAGTGCATTCATTACCTTAGAGTCCATATTTACGTTAGTCTTTTGTACAACCGTCCATTTGGTATAAGGATTGGTAGGATTTATAAATTCATTCTCAACGATGTTTCATAGTTCATGTCCAAGAGATTGAAGATAGATCTTCATCCCACACTTCAAATAATTATAGTTTGTGTCGTCAAAGAGAGGTGGTCGCTGTGTATAATGTCCCTCTTTGAATTGTGATGTACTTAACGATGACATCTTTCACCCTGCTCTGTTACCAATTATAGGATCTGATCACACAAAAACATTAGAGGGGGGGTGAATATTGTTTCTTTTAAACATTATTCAGAGTAGATTATAATTTACAAGAAAGATAGCACAACCACAGAAAATCACAATCGCAAACACAATATTTTATACTGAATCCACCTCCACTTGTGCATCTAGTCTTCAAGCAAATCTTGCTTGAGAGTTCCACTATGATTTTAAAAAACATATAAAATCAAACAACAAATCTGACTAATTTGTAACACCATGCAAATTGCACACAATCTCTTCACCAAGAGATCAAACCTCTCACACCCGTGAGAACAATTTCCTTGTATCAACAACTCGATTCCTTTAAGCCTTGAATGTATAGTGATGTGTAGCAGTGACTTAGGAATTTTTTTTAATCTCTAAAAGTTGCCTAAATAAGGTGTATATTGAATAAAGATCAAAGGCTAACTCAGAGAATGATTTTTCTCAACACTTAGCGAAAATCTGAATGTTTTGAACTCTTGAGAATGCCCAAATAATGACCTTATGGATAGGAATAATTGATCATAATTACTGAACTTATAACCTATTTAGAGTCCGTAAAAAGATAAGTTTTCAAAGTCAATTAATGGATCAAAATGGCTATAAACAGTCAGTAATTCAAATTTTAAAATGTCAGAAAACTATCACTGTAGTCGACTAGTAGTCGTTGTAGTTGACTACACTGAGTTAAAACAGACTGTAAATTCACGATTTTTCTTAGTAGTCGACTACATTGGTCATTAGTCGACTACTCTATAAATGATAGAAAGCCTGAAATTCAAATTCAATGGTTAGTAGTCGACTATACTGTGTAGTAGTCGACTACACTGTAAATAACAAAAAGTTAAGAATTCTGAAATGACTTTTAGTAGTCGACTATATAGTCTAGTAGTTGACTACACTGTAACTTTACAGAAACTGAGATTTTCTCTTAGTGCTTAGTAGTCGACTATAAAAAGTCATTAGTCGACTAGACTGTAATTTAACAGAGATATATATTTTTGATCTGAAATTAAGTAGTCGACTACAAGTCTTATTGGTCGACTACTAAGGGGTGAAAATTGATATGAATGAAATATTTTTAGACTCATTGATAAGCTATAAACTCTAATGGTTAACATAGGGGATTTTTATTATTAACCAACACACTAAGCATGTGTGTGTATGTATGAGTGATCAAGGCTTGTACAAAATTTCTAAGTAAAGAAAATGTAAAATTTACATTGATGTATAAGCTATTCATCTTCATTACTTCATGATACCTTGAACTCATCTTGCACTTGTTCATATTTGATGTTGAAAGTAGCATTGATATGTTAATGCACCATAATACACATAGTGATATACATAATGAATAAATTGTTATCATCAAAATTATATCTTGGGGACATGATATCCAACATGATGATGAAAAATCACCATTATTCAAGAGCATGAATAAAATAGAATTTTAGCTTTTAGATAGTTGCTCCCCCTATCTATAAGACTCTCCCTCAATCTATGTGCACAAATTAGGAGATTTCTCTCCCCTTTGTCAACATAAAAGTGGAGTAAATAAGACAATATATATATACAAGTAAAAAACCCATAAGATACTCCTCTAAGTGTTGGCCTACCCGTGTCACATTTCTAAAGTGTTTAGATTTATGAACTCTTCTTAGGCATTATTACCAACCCACTCCTCTTGGAGGTGACATCGGTCTCACCCAACCACTCCTCTAAGTATCCTTGTGTGTTTAAACATATTTTGATAATGTAGATCACAATAATAACATGTAGATTTGAAATTTATATCTTAAAACCAATAGTAAGAAAAAGGCATCAAAACAAGTGTTCAAAGAATGCACAGGCCTAATTCATTTTTATACGACAAAACTCTTCTTCACTAAGGGGTTTGGTAAATATGTCCGCTAATTGTGATTTTGTATCAATATAAACAAGAAAAATATCTTTCATTTCTACATGGTCACGTAAGAAGTGATGTAGTACATCTATATGTTTGGTTCTAGAATGCAAAACATAGTTTTTTGAAATATTAATAGCACTAGTGTTATGACACAAAATTTTTGTATCATGAAAATGTAAATTAAAATCAACTAAATTTGATTTCATCCTTAAAAGTTGTGTACAACAAAAGCCGGTGGCAATGTACTCCGTTTTCGTAGTGGATAAGTCAACACAATTTTGTTTCTTGGATGACTAAGAAACAAGTGAGTTACCTAAGAATTGATATGTTCCACTCGTACTCTTGCGGTCTACCTTACATCTGGTAAAGTCAGCATCACAATAACCATAAAGATCAAAAGAAGTGTTCTTAGGATAAAACAAACCAAGTTCTGTAGTGCCATTTATATATTTATTAATTCTTTTAACCTCAATGAAATGAGATTTTCTAGGAAAAGCTTGAAAACGTGCGCATACACAAAGACTAAATATAATATCCGGTCTACTAGCAGTGAGATAAAGTAAACTATCTATTATACCTTGATAAAGCTTCTGGTCTACTTTCTCACAACTCTCATCCAAGTCCAACTTGATGGTGGTGCTCATGTGCGTTGGTGCATGTTTAGAATTCTCCATTCCGAATTTTTTAACTATCACTCTCGCATATTTGCTTTGTAACACAAAAATCCCATCATTGGTTTGTTTGACTTAGAGATTAAGAAAAAATGTAAGCTCTCCCATCATGCTCATTTCAAATTTTTCTTCCATAACTTTAGAAAATTCCTTGCACAAAGGTTTATTAGTGGCACCAAAGATAATATCATCAACATAAATTTGAACTAAAATAAAATTATTTTTTCTTTTTCTAACAAATAGATTATTATAAATTTTCCTTTTGATAAACTATTATTAATAAGAAAACTTGAGAGGCGAGCATACCAAGCTCTAGGAGCTTGTTTTAACCCATATAAGACTTTTTGAACCCGAAAAACATGATTTGAAAATAGTGGATCAAAAAAGCCGGGGGGTTGCTCAACATACACCTCTTCTTCTATAAAACCATTTAAGAAAGCACTTTTAATATCTATTTGAAATAATTTAAAAATTTTAAAACTAGCAAATGCTAAACATATTCTAATTGACTCAAATCTTACAACTGGTGTAAAAGTTTCATCATAATCTATGCGCTCCTCTTAATTGTATCCATGGACAACTAAACGAGTTTTATTTCTAGTCACTATACCAAATTCATGAATTTTATTTCTAAAAACCCATTTTGTTCCAATAATATGAAAATCTTTAAGTCTAGGAACATGTTTCCAAACATTATTTCTTTTAATGTTATTCAATTTATCATGCATAGCTAAGACCCAAAATTCATCATTTAAAGCATCATCAACACGTTTAGGTTCAATTTGGGATAAGAAACCTACATTACCATACTCACTCATAGCCTTTGAGCGAGTTAAAACTCATTTAGATGGGCTCCTTATATTTTTCTCCTTGGGATGATCCGGTGTAAATCTCCATGCCTTGGGGAGTTCCTCTTGATTTTGTTCAAGGTTACCTTCCTTATCTTTTGGTGCATCTGTTGAGGGTTTGTTATTTATTTGCATGAGTTCAAATCCTCCCTTAATATCATCATCATCCCTAGACACGCACTCTAGCAAACCATCATTACTTTCATGAAATGTAACGTTTATAGATTCTTCAACAACGAGTGTTCATTTGTTAAAAAATCTATAAGCCTTACAAC